CTTCATAGGCATTTTCTAGGTGGAAGGGAACGTTCTCGTCGAGAGAGCAGCGCACCTCGCCATTCTCCCCCGAATCCCGGTCCTGCACATGCAGCAATGCTACCACGGTTCCGGGCGGGGCATCCTCAGAGATCTCACTCAATACTGACGACACTGTGAGATCGGGTGCGTTGTCGTTGACGTCTGTTACAGTGATCATGACTTTTGCTATGTCGGAAAGATCCCCGCCATCTCGAACCTGTATGTCCAGTTCATAGGATTTTACATCCTCGAAGTCTAAGTTACGTGTCAATGCAATCGCTCCCGTGTCGAGGTCCAGCTGAAAAATCTGCGAGGCTTTCTCTGTGATTTTCTTAAAGGAGTATTGCATATGGCCGTTTAAACCTTCGTCGGCGTCTGTGGCCGTGACAGTGACGAGGACAGAGCCCACGGGCACGTCCTCGGGCACACGCACCGTGTACTCCGCCTGGCTGAACACGGGCACGTTGTCGTTCGCGTCCAGCACCGTCACACGGATCCGAGCCGTGCCCGTCCGTGCCGGATCGCCGCCGTCCATCGCCCTCAGCACCAGCTCGTGAAACGCCGCCTCCTCCCGGTCCAGCGCCTTCGCCAGCACCAGCTCGGGACGCTGATCGCCGCCGGGGCCCGCCTGCACGGCCAGCGAGAAGTGCTCGTCACCGCTCAGCTCGTAGCTCTGCAGGGAATTCGAGCCCAAGTCCAGATCATGAGCGTCTGGTAAGGGAAACCTCGCTCCCGGGACTGTCGTTTCGATCATTTTCACCGCAGTCTCTGCCTCTCGAAAGCTCGGCGCGTTGTCGTTAATATCCGTGATTTCCACTTGTATTCCGTAAACCTGCATCTGTCCCTCCACTATCAGCTCACAGCGCAGCACGCATTGCTGCACACGCTCACACAGCTGCTCTCTGTCGATCCTCTCCGCCGTCACTAAATGTCCCGTCTTCCCGTGCAGAGCAAAATACTGCGTCCTACCTTTGTCCAAGATATGAACGCCCCGGGCCCTGATCTCCGGCAGCTGCAGCCCCAGGTCCCTGGCCACGTCGCCCACGAACGAGCCCTTGGGCATCTCCTCGGGCACGGAGTAGCGCAGCTGCCCCCACGCCGCCTCCCACGCTGCCAGCAGCACGGCCCAGAGCAGAGCTCGCTGCCGCCGGCCCCAGCGCCTCCCCGCCGCGCACATCTCCAGAGCGGCACTGCCAGTACCGTAACAGCGCCGATCCAATCCCGCTGCCACTCAATTCTCTCAGCTTCTGCACCGTGCACAGCTGCCGGTCCCTCCGCCTGGCTGCAGAGTGGGCCAGCACCGCGGAGATGATCGCAGACCGCAGGTTCGGACAGGGAGCGAGCGGCCGAGCGAGCGGATCCGCAGCGGGCGGGGCTGCGGCGCTCCGAGCTCCTCTCGCTCCTCTCGGTCAGCAGCGGCGCCCGCAGCCTCCTCCCGGCACTGCAGGCACCGGGCGCCGCCGAGCGCCGCGGTCCTGCCTTGCTGCGCACAGGGCGCAGTCGCCACCGAGCCGTCACAGGAGATCCAGCGCGGATCTCCGGCCTCCGCATTTCCCCAGCCGATCTCTGCTTTCATCCTCCAGGCTAGCACCATCGGGAGGAAGGCAGAGGCATTTCGGGGGCGTGGTTCTTTAACCGCACGGGAAACTAATCATTTACTGATGTCATTAGATGTAAATTAAAAATTTCAAATTTTATCCTCTAGCTTATTGTTACCCTTATCCTTTGTGTTTAAAAGCATCTTCAAGAACAGGTTCTCAGCGAGAAAACGGGAAGATACCTCATCCCGAAAATACAGAGCTATCAGGTTCATTAACACAAGCTGGACGAGAGCAATTGCATGCTTCTTAAAGGCAGGGAGTTAATTGTTATAGTATTCAATTATAAGTAAAAATAAAGATGCAGCTGAAACACTCAAAGGAAGCTTTCACGAATTCGAATATTTTAAATCCTATCCTAAGTTATGCCTAAAGTTTTCTTATTTTTTACAGATTTACATTTAATGAAGTCATTCTAGGATTCCTTTTTTCTGAAATCAATGTGTAAAGCACTGTAGTTCTTTAGTAAACTATTCATCTAAGTATTTCTTAATAACGTTGGTACGATATGTGTTCAATAAAATAATTATGGAACCGTAGAACAAAAGTAACAACTCTTGAAACAATGCTGACCACTAATCAATGTGCAATGGTCTTGAATCAAATGCCTAAACCTCCTCTGGCTGATCTCTCTGATGTGTGATCTCTTCCTATCTCAGACGTCTAATTCGTGTAAATAGAATCGCAACAATGCGCTGTTCTCGTTATATACCCGAGTTCCACTAAAACCTCCAACATCTTTGTGAAAAAAGGATACAAAAATAAACATCTCTGAAGCAGAAATCTTTCAGCACTATAACCAGTGTACAAAATATAGATCTTGAACAGCAAAGAGAGCGATCTGCTAGCCAGGATACATAAGCGAAGCAAATTAGTCCCACTAATGTATTCTCCCCCAAAACTGGCTACAATCTCTTTTTTCGCTCGGGATGGAGAAATGACCTTTCCATGTTCGTTTCCTATCCACATCTAAAAGGGATCAAACAAAATTTAAAGGACAGGTTTGTGTAAAGCTAGCAACGAGTTCCAAGCACAGCCTTTCAGAACATATCAATCCAGAAGGAAAAAGCTCCAACACCAAATATAGAGTACTTTCACTTTTATTTCCCTCAACTCCGTCATACAGAATGAGCTGTTCTCCTTTCACAGAATGCGAATCTGTTTCCATGTTGCTAACACATTCTAATTTCTACAGCTGAAATGCTGAAGACAAAACTTCTAGGCTGAAGCTGAACCTGTGACCAAGGAAGAACCAAGTGCTTCCTGCTCTGCATGAACGGGGAACAGCCCCTTCCTTAATCCAGTCCATCACGGAGACAAGACTACAACCCACATCAACACGACTCCGGGAAACATGGAGAAGCACTGAGAAATGCTGCTA